CCAAACCCCCTCGTCATATAGAAATTCAGCGCATTAGCCCCATGTGATTTGAAAAATGCGTCAAACCTCCCTGTGTTTTAATTAATCATGCACACAACCCCTTTTATGACTAAATTTAATGATTTTGAGATCACTTTTTCTAATATTCTGATTGAATATGCAAGTAAATATGTCAAAATCTCTAAATCATACAAAAGTGTTAACCATTTTTCTTATATTTGACAGTTGAAATTGTTCATAGAAGGGATTTTGCGCATAATTAATTAAAACACAAGGGAGTTTGACGCATTTTTTAAATCACATGGGACTAATGCGCCGATTTTCCACATCACAGGGGAATTTCAAATCTAATTTTTAAATTATAAAAACATGATTCAAAACTAGTTGAAGTGCTTTACAAAATTTATTACTAAGAAATTTATACTGCATTTTGCTTCAAAGTTAGGTGAACTTGATTGCTTTAATGCCCTTCACTTTAACAAATCATGGGTGAGAGAATTATATCAATTTCGCTGCCACAAAATTCATCATCCCTCTTATTGTAAATTGTAGAACTCATATTGATATGGTACTTTCATTCAACGAAACTAAGTCTAGAACATGATATTGTGTCTATCCCAATAACTTAGTCTATGTCTCTAAATCTTTCTAGATGATACATAATGATCATATTCAATATCCAAAACGAATATATTTTTGCATTGGCCCATGAATTTATGATCAATCTAGATATGAGAAGTAGAACGTTCTTTCTTAATCTATTACAAGGAATGAATCCTTTCTTGACTCAACTACTACTCCATGTGCTTCGTGATGCACCCAACACATGCCGTATCTATCCTGATTGGATTGCAAGCGTTGGTCATAGTCAAAGTACATCACTCCGCACATGTAGTATGTATTGACCTCAAGTCGGAAGACTATTACACTACTTTATGCGCCGATAATCCCATAGACACATGAATATAACTTATCAAATGATTTCTCGGTGGGTATGCCAATATTCTCTAAAATATATGTGACCATCATGAGTTACAACAACTCATAGTTGTGAGATCAACTATACTTTCTAAAAGTATGATTCAGTCTATATACAAATCTTATCGCATATCATCAATATCTCTTTCTTTATAATCATTGATTATGGCTATTTTGGGATCTTATGTTATACTATATATCATGTAAGCCAACATAAATTCAAGGGAACACAATTATGAATAAGACGCCGACAATGGAAATGCTTAATCATCAATGTGTAGTACCGTATATATCAAATATATAAAACTGAATGTGATCAAGTACATATATCTCTAAAAGGTGATTATCGCTAAGACATAGGGCTGAGCACGGATCTGGGAATTCCCATTTCGTACCGAATAACCGTCCCGAACCGTTCCAGAACCGATAGAATCGGAAAAATGTAATACTGTACCGTACCGTATCGAGCTTTTTTAATAATATGGTATGGTATCGGTTCTTAGTGAAAACCGTACCAGAACCATCCTGGAACCGTACCGAACCGGACCGTCTCGTACCGTCCCGAATTGTCCCGAAAACTAGTGTTATAATATAATAATATATTATATATAATATAATAATATGTATAATATATTTTATACCGAGTATAATTGTCCGTATATTACTCTTACATCTTCTTTGGGCCCAAGATGCTGAAGTTGTTGAGGCCCTGATGCCAAGGCTTAATATTGATTGTTGACAGAAATCGCCCCGAGGTCCTGATGGCTGATGCCATTGCCTAGAATTCTGGCAGATTTAGTCTAGCTCAAATATGGATTATTAAATTAATTATTTTTGTCATGTGAAGTGATACTTTTTGGTTTTTCAGTTTGACGATCACTTTTGCATTTTAGTTTGAATTGGATGTTACTTTTCTTTAATATAGTTTGACTATTAGTTTCATATTTCAATTTGATCACACAATATCAGTTTAATATAATCTTGCAAGTTCTTCCCTTCAATTTTTGTAGAGTTATTTATAAATGTTAAAATCTAAAGTTTTTTATATGTCATGGGGGTTATTTAGTTATTTAAGGACCGTACCGAACCGTACCGAAAATTGGTACGGAACGGGACAGGTTCTACATATACGCGGGACGGTACCGGTTCTTGATTTTTAAAAGAACCGTACTTTGGGACGGGACAAGTTTTTCGAAATAACCGCCCCATACTGTCCCATGCTCACCCCTAGTAAGACATATATACTAACACATAATACCTCCACACATAGTATTATTTATGTTATTTGTATAATAGGTCACTTTTATTTATCTCTATTCGTTTCATCCTTCATGAATACAATTATTTTATATTTATGAGTTATGTAACATTTTGTTTGTGTCTCGTCTAAACAAAATTTTAACCATTTTTTCAATCACGTAAATGTCTTGGGCTCTTATGGCACCATTGAGCATGTCAGATATACTATAATATGGAGGAGGTTAGAAGTATATCTAAGAAATTATTTTTTCAATCCAAACAACAACGATATCACAATATTATTGATTAAAAGAATAAATTGGAGTCACCTAACATAATCCACATATTATATGAGAAACATTGGGATTAAATATGAATGAAATTATAGCATCTAAATAAATTTTAACTATTTTTTAATATCCGTTCAAAGAGATTAATAAAATGCCAAATTAAGAGGGCTAAATAAAAGGGCTGAGAAATCGAGAATACAAGGTTTTAGGTACAAAAATATTTTTGAAATATTATGATGAGGTATTACTAAAGCAGACCACAATCATTATTAAACTGCCCAATAAACACCGCATTAAATGGGAAAATATGAATATGCTTTCCTTCCTCACATTGCCTGATATGGCAGAAAATCATGCATTTTAGATCAACTCTTCTTCAGCTAGATAACAAACCATTTAATTACAAAAAAAAAAAAATACAAAGAAAGAGAGAGAAATAAAATGAGAGTAAGAGAGAAAAGGGGAATACGTTAGAGTCGGTCCATCAAGTGAAAATGGAAGTGTGGAGCGAGGTTTATGGCAAGAAATTAGAGAGAGAAATATGGCATTTGTTTAGGTTGCTTTAGATTTTGCATTTACAAATCGAATTTTGAAATATTAATTAATTTCTCCCAATATTTTTGCCATGTTTTACTCCACACTTATTATCTTTACAAATATTACTGATCTGGTCGTTCTAATTAGGCGTGAGAAAACCCGGAGGTCCTCATATTCTTGTTCTCAGAAAATTAATGGGTGTTTAGTTTTTCTCTTTCTTAAAATTAATAATTATACAAATAAGGATATAAATGTGTAACAGAAAGTTGCAATCTATTCTAAATTATGGGGATGTTTTTATATTTTTGAGAACTATCAAATAAGCCCTCGAACTTTCATAAAAAGTGCAAATAAGCCCTTTTATAGGAGGTTTTATCCGACCGTCGCCATTTAGAGCGGTTTCCGGTGGAATTTTTTGATGAAAATTTTTCAACATCTTCTTCATTAAGTCTAGTTTACTCATACCAAATTTCAGATAAAAATTCAATCGGGCCGGGAAGGCAGTCAAATGAATTTTTGAAGATAACTGCGCAGTTCGGAAGCGTGGTATATTTCAGAAAATCATTTGACTGTCTTCTCGATTGAAGTTTTAGTTGAAATTCGGTATAGGTAAACATGACTTAATGAAGAAGATGCTTAAAAAATTCATCAAAATCTTCCACCGGAAACCGTCCCAAATGGCGACAGCAGGACAAAGCCTCCTATAAAAGGGCTTATTTGCATTTTTTATGAAAGTTCGAGAGCTTATTTGTTAATTCTCCCCTTTTTTTCCATTTAAGTTGCCCATCTTAACTCCATAATCTGCGGAATATTATGTGATCTATCTAGAGATGTACCTTTTTACTTTTATTATATTATTATTGTTATTATTATTACTGTACAAAGTTCGCCTATTGTGTAAGTGTCATTGTCCAATGAGGCATAAGCCTCGATTTTGACACACATTTATATATAAAAAACAAACATTGTAATAGAAAATAAAATAAAATAATCATTGAAAGTCCACAAATGTGATATTCAAGACACAAAAATTAAACCATAAACAAAGTTATTTTCTTGCCGATGTACCTTACTAAACAAGTTTCATATGGAATATTTTGTAACAATACATAAATTTGTTTATACATAAATTTTATAATAAAACTTATTTATAGTTGTCCATGATACAAAGCTTCAAATTTCCTTGGGTTGGTGTGAAGTAAAGTCCCAAAGTCATGAAAAAGCTTGAAGCTCGCAGTAGAAAAGAAAAATTGTATGAAAATCTTGAAACTAGGAAAGTTCTCAGTAGAAACTAACGCAGTAGAAGTCTAGCTTGCACAATTATCACACATAGACCATTTGGTAATACCTAAATCGGCTATATTGTAAAATTTTACTGAAATTTATGAAGTTTTGACTGAAGTGGTTACATTACTTGGTTCTGCTGATTTATAAAAAAATTATATTTAAAATATATTTTATGAATAAAATAAAGAAAAAATTATATGAAAAAACATCTAAAATGATCTTCTACGGTAACATCAACCAATACAACTAGAAAAATAACTCTAATCTACTTTTTATTATTATTACACAATTAAATTAAAAATTAAACCAAAAACCAAAGTCATGAAACGGACTCACAGTCCGCACAAGAGCCGGTGTGTTATCGCATATATTCTTTCCGTCCCATAAAATAGTTCCCGCATTGATCTGGATCAGAGTTTAAGATAGTGGGGATACCGTAGGAATCTATGATTGTGGTTGTGTGAGAAAAAAATAAATGAATGTGAGTCACACAAAACTTTCCAAAAGAATAAACGAGAACTATTTTTTGAGATGATCCAAAACTGAAACCGAGAACTATTTTGCGGGACAAATGGAGTACTTAATTTTAAAATGGGTGTGGGCTTTGGGCTAAGTTTTAGAAGTAGGCTCACCTTAAGCACTAAACCAAGTCCAGGCAATGGCATACGCTTCAGAACTAGGCGCCTACGCAATTTGCGTACGCCTTGTGCGTGTAACTATCATAATTGCTTATTTTGGGATACGCCATCTTTAATTTGCAACTCTCAGATTTTCTGGATTTTCTTTTAAATTCGCAATATTTTTTGAATCTGTAGAAATTAATGGCGATGTTGGGATGTTTTACGTCTATAAATAGTTCTCTGTTGGGTGTTTCACTCGAATTCTTGAAGTTGTGTTGAGATTTTAATGGCAATGGTTCAAGAAGAACCTGCCCAGAAGTGTAGCAATAGTAGTAGTGGTGATGGTGGGGGAGGTGTTTGTAGTGGTAGATCTTTGAAAAAGCTTAAACAGAAAAAAGTGCCCCAAAGAGGATTAGGGGTTGCTCAGCTAGAGAAGATCAGGCTAGAGGAACAGCACAGAAGGGAGAACAATGCTTTCCAAGCAGCTAGTAATAGTGTTTTCTCACCTAGCATCTTGCTGCCTAATATCTCCTCAATGTCTCACCTTTCTCCTCCTTCCTCAATCCATTCCCCACCTGATCTCCCCTCATGCCTCCCAAAGTTTGATCATGAGGGTGGTGAGAGGGGTAGATCGGGCTTGATGATCCCAGGTCATAGTCACTGGCCCAAACTGTGGGATGGTGAATACAATCTTGAAGGAGAAGAGAGTAGAAGGCTGGATCATCCTGGGATTCCTTTTTGGCCTACCATAAACATGCCTATCGAACAGCATTCTTCAGTTTTGCCTCTCCCAACTGCATTGCAGAGATCACAGCAATATCAGCAGCCTGCTTCTTCATCAATGGTTAGCAAACTGAATACCCATACACTATTATTAACTAGTCTCTCGACGCGTGATGCATAATAAGGAAATGCCCAATAGAAATCTTATGGGGTTAATTTTGGTTTACTTTGTCAGTTGGTATAACTGAGATCTATGAATTTGCACACAAAGTTGTTAAGTAGGACATTAGAATAGGTTAAAGTGCATGCTACTCTATGAAATCTGTCAAATTGTATTCTATGGGTGTTGTTAGGATTTTATTTTTAGGAGGATAAAATCTGGATTTATCAAGTGAATTGGAATATTGGATATATACACCCAGTCTCAAAGGAGTAAAAAATGGCCTACATTCACCAAAACATCAAATCAGTTGTTCACCTCAGATTTTTTTTAATGAGAGTTACTCTGTCTGCCATGAAGAGAAAATGACCCTCCTGTTTTAGAATCTTAGATCTAATCGATTCAATTAGATCTTTAAACTCAGCAGCTTTTCAAATTCTTTATCTAGAAAAGTTCTCAAGCAAGTTAGAGGAACATCCATTCACAAAGTTCATTAAGATTTCTTTTAATTAGAAAGGTCAATCCAAAATTAGATGTCTGGCCTGTGGTTTTTATTTTTAAAAATGTTATTAAAATGTGCTAGTACATCCGAAAGCACATGATAAAGAGTATAACGAAGTAAATTTCTTTTAATTTTTTAAAGAGTATTATGGTTTATTAGTGCTATGATAACTTTATTAGTATAACTAAATAGTGTGGGGCCGTGGAACCATTGATAAAGCTACACTATGAGATCAATAGATGATAATTCGTTTTTAAGTCTTATTAGCACTACATATTTTTACATCACTATGAATTGCATTTTTTACCCCTTTCAGGTATATCTGTTAAAAAAGCGCATAAATACGTAGTTATGACATATGTGGCACATTATTAGTAACTTTTGGACTTCATATTATCAAAATCTTGTTAGAAAGAGTAATTCTAATATACTTGAAGTTGTTGTAATGCACTTTTATCATGTGTTCACCTCTAGACCTGTGGATAACATAGAAGGGCATAAATGAACATATAGCCACAAACACATATGTTGTGTTGGCCACCCTCAAACTAAGTAGGGCTGCATTGTTAATTCATATTATCTACTGAAAAGTATAGAAAAAAATGATATCAAAATAAAAAATAGTACATTGTATGAAACATGACTTGCTGTTATGATTTCAAATATCTTTTCAAAGAGACAAGGTGTCAACATAAATTAAGAATGACCCCTTAATAAGTTAATATAGACACTATACTTATTCACTAATCATTATTTAGAAAAAGGAAAGGTAAGAAGATGTTATATGACTGCCCTGTCCAAATGACACCTTATGATTAACAAAAGACACGTTTAACATTTTTTGCCAAAACAAAAGTATATCTTCCAAAAGGAATACTATTTGGAAGGAAAGTCATAAGAAAAAAATGGGCATGTTAAGGGGGTTAGGAAATAACAGGTAAACAAAGTTGGAGAAATAAAATGCATATCAAATCTGAAAATGGACAAATTTAAGTCCACCTAAAATGATAATTAACTCAATTTGAGACTCAAGTATACGTGATACACAGGAATATAATTTTTAGCATTTGGATAAAAGAAAAAACAAGCACTTTCTCTGCAAACCGCATCTGTATAACTGTATTTCCGTTAACGATTACATCCAGTGTATTGATTATTAAATTTGTACCCATTGGAGTGGCTTGTTAGCAATCTGTTTGCAAACTTTACTGTTTTATAATAAAGATGGGCATAAACACATATGAGCCACCCTCAAACAAGAGTTTATACATACAGAAACTTTGCTTATGCCCTATATACTACAGTAGGCACTACTACTGCTCTGATTCGATCAAAATATAAACTGATTGGTTATGTCATTATTCTCTTATAGTTGTTAAATTACCCGGTCAATTATAAATGAAGAGTCAACCATAAACCACACCAGACAATTGCTTAAAATATTCCTATAATATTAGTGATATTAGTGATACTTTTGTTAAAAACAATAACGCTAATGATACTTTTGATAGAAATATCGCACTATGTATCATAATATTTAAGTCTCACTAAAATATATTGAGCTGGAATGAGTTGAACACGAGGGCAACACACTCCTCTTGTAACTTGTCACACTTTGGGAACTACTACTGGCCTGATTAGACCAAAATATAATCTGATTGCGTATGCCATTACTCTTACAGTTGTTGAATTTTCCACCAGTGAAAGTATACCTATTCTATACTCTATTATTAATACTTTCGTTAAAAACAGTACCACCAGTGATACTTTTGATAGAAATATTGCACTATGTACCATAATATTTAAGTGTATCACTTAAATATATTGAGTTAGAATGATGTGGGGTATTTTGGTGGAGTAATTTTTTCTTACTTTTTACATTTTAAATCAACCATGTTGTTTTAATGTTGTTACGGTGTGTTTAAATACACGACTGGTCTTAAGCATTAGCTTGTTTTTTGGAATCCTTACACTCCAACTTTAGTTTTCTCATAGTGTGCGGTCAAGGATAGATTAGTGGCAGATTATAACTACATGTCCATATACAATCCACTTTCCCTTCAAATTGAAATGCTTTTCAAAATTTTGAACCAGGGAGGTGGTTTTCGAAGTGCATGCAGGAAGTAAGTTAGGAGCTGCATGTTTGTGTGTCTACTATACTCCAAATGCTAGATTGCTAATTATAGTGACGTTTAGAAAATTATTATTAGCCCTTTTTAAACTGGAACATTATTAAAGTGGAGTAGTAGTTTACAAATTAAAAAGGATAATAAAAAAAGGGTAGCCCTCGGACAAGAGCTTATGCCTACAAATGTCCTGAACGTGAAGTTCAGAGATAAAGGAGAGGTAAATTATAAGTAATCTTCATATAATACATGATTATATATTAAATGTAACAATTAGTAACCGTTGTACTACATTTTATCAAAGTCCTATTTAAGTAACGTGTGCCCTAAATACTACTGTGGGGTAACAGAGGTGGGCATAAATGACAAATAGGCGTAAACACATTTTAGCCATCCTAGAAAAAGAGCTTTATACCTAGTCCTACAGAAACTTGACATATGTACTAAATACTACTATCGGCACTACTACAGCCAGGGGCGCAGCTAGGGGGTGCCCAGGCTAGGCCTTGGCCCACCCCAAATTTAAAAAATGCCAATATTTTTAGTGTAAAAAATTTCGTGTAATTTTTTTTTCAATAACATTCTTTGTACCGGCCCAGTCTGGCCCAGTGCCCTGTCTCCGCCCCTGACTACAGCTCTAATTTGGAACATTCTTAAAGTGGAGCAGTTGCTTATAGAGTGAAAAGGGTTAATAAAGAAGGGCATTCCTCCAACAAGGGCTTATGATTTATGAAGTAACTTATGCCCTAAATACTAATGTGGGATAACACAGATAGGCATAAATGGAAAATAGGGTGTAAACACAGGTTAGCCTCCCTCAAACAAGAGCTCAAGCCTACAGAAACTTGACTTATGCCCTAAATACTATTTCGGTCACTACTATAGGTCTAAATTGACCAAAACATAATGTGAATGGTGATATCATCACTCTTTTAGAGTTGTTATTCATGGACAAAGTGGATTATTGCAAATGTTCACTTCACAAAAAATGAGAGAAAACAAATTATACATAATATATACACTATCTTACTATCTTATACGTAGTATATATGAACTTCATATCATATGTGTTTATATAATAAATGTAATCCTGTGACATGTACAAGGGTTATACTGGCGTAATCCCAGTGTCAACAATGCACTTCGCATACATTCAAGCGTAACTCGAAATATAAAGCCGGGTTGTGATTTCACATGAACAAAATGTAAAATATGCATATTCTTATGCTGCAAGAGTACAAGCAGAGAGTAACGAAATAGAATACGGAAACACAAAAAAAGAAACTGAAACCCAGTAGTGACAGGGGCTAGGGAAGGACATAGGACAGTTCACTGTGAAGTCGAGATTCGAGAAAACGGAAGGATAACTTACCTGTTAGCGCCGCAAGAAGGAAACGATGGGAGCCGCTTGGTGAGGTTAGGGTGCAGAAAGGAGCAGCTGGGTGTAGTAGGGTTAGGAGTGCTGAGAGATGGAGAGAAATGGAAGGTGTGTTCAAAGTGACAAATTGACGATGAGAGATGGCAATCAAATGGGAAGATAAGTTCTTTTTTAATAGAGTACAGCTGGTAGAGCACGTTGTACAACTGACTAAGCAGGATGATTCCACTAACATTTTCTCCTTCCCTTCAATATCCTAACCTTCATTGGCTATAATAAGATTGTAAGATAATATTAATATCAATATTAATATAGTAATAGTTGCTATTATTATTCTTTTATATCCTGTGACTGATTTGTGAATGTTGCAGGTGAACATCTTGTCTGGGATTTCATCATCAACGTCATCTTTAAGGAATTTTCAGACAGAGCCCCCTTCAAACCAAATTTACCGTGATAACGATTACATGCCACTGTGGCCTGAGGAAGTGAAGGTATTTCCATTGCTTGTGTTTTGATCTTTTTTTGTATTACAATAAAATGCATTTTACATGTTCAGCAGATTCAAATCTAATGAGAGTCTGACACTACTCTGATTTAGTAAAGAGTGCACACTTCTTCACTTTCTTTGGATAGTTGTGTCTGTAAAGTGTAAACATTTTTGTTCTTTAGTGTAATCATCAATCATTCTTTTATGAAAAAAAAGACATGATTTTTTCAATCATTCTTCAGTTATTACAATAATGACTGAATTCATGTGATTCTTTTTTCTCATTTTGTACCTGATATATGCTGAAACTCTTTTTCTGATGGTATTTTCTATTGATTACTGATGTGATGTAGATGGTTGGTGTCAAAAGGCCATATCCTTTCTCTCCAGAATACCCGCCAGTTCCATCATTTAATTGCAAATTTCCTCCTGGCTATGCTTCTTCCACATTGAGGGCAAATAATGAAACAACATCCTGTGGCAACAGTAGCGTAGCTAATGTATTAGAACCACACAATCTTCCTATCAGGTATGTTATCGAATCTCGGGTTCTTAAAAATAATATGTTAGTTCTGAATGTATTCAAAGTTTCTTCTTCTTCTTTGCTCAGAGAAGGCATTTCAAGCTCACAGTTTGAGTCCAACTCAAGAAGTCTTAACAGAGAAAATGGAGGTCTTGATGGAGATTTCCTCTCGTTGGCCCCTCCGGCAGATGCAGCTTCTTCATCACAAATAGATCATAGATACCACCATTCATCCAGAAATCAACTCCCCCTTAATCCTGAAGCATCAAATCAGGTGACCTATAGTAATAATTGTTACATTTTTCCATTTGTTTTGGTTTTTAATATTTAACTCATATTATCAGTACAATATATGGAGATGAGAGATGACTCCCTAGTCTCCTCCATGAAAGAGACTTATACATGCAATTAGTCCATGAGGCCACTGGCATTGTCTTAGTTTTCAGTTTGTGCAATTAACTTATTTGTAGCTTAGGGATGGATACAGTCATAGTTGTTTTCCTATTATAGCATTACTTCTTTGGGTACATGATTTCCATTTGGGTTGTTTTCCTAATATAGCATTACTTCTTTGGGTACATGATTTCCATCTGGGTTGTTTTCCTAATATAGCATTACTTCTTCGGGTACATGATTTCCATTTGGGTTATTTATTAAAAAATACACGACCTTTGCTGCCTTCTTAGGTTTAATCATGTCTTTTAAATTTTTTCAATCCGTTATGCATGCTTCTTAACTTTTGCACTTTCATATGCAATGTTGATGATCTGCTTGATTTTGCTTACATTATGACTGGAGAACTTGCCTTTTGCCATATAGATTGCCAAGTTGTTGTATGCATGTCTGTATTCATGTCTTGTGTGTTAATCTGCTTTTGAGTTGAGTAATATGGGACCACAAAGTCAGTTCCGTCCTTTTCCAAGAACTGCATAGCACTATAAGCATGCACAGACATGCTGACAATGCACCAATCCACGTGGCAAAGAATAAGCGTGTGTTTGGTCAGCTATCAACCTTGTGTTAGTTTGTATAAAATTGCAAATTTCTTAAGAGGTCCATACAATTCATAAAATTAAAAGAAAATGATAAAATCATAAAGTTCACTGAAGGTCTTGTATTTTTATATAACAACAAATAACCCATTTCTATTTTGATTTTTGTTGTCTTTTTTGACTAATTCCGCTCTCAAATTAATATAGAGAGGTGGTGAAGAAAAAATGAAACGACCAGGAATGATCAGATGCGGTCAACCACACATCTTCAGCTTCTTCCCACCAACTAAGGTGCAAAGTGATCTTGAAGAAAGCTCTAAAAGAAGTGACAAGAGTGAATCTAATGGAGTTGTAGATCTGGACCTGAAACTATAGATAGCGGCATAGCGCAGCTTGTCCACCCCCTTTGACGATTTTCCCATGTTACAATATTTAGTGTTTCCATATATGGTTTCAACAATTCTACTTATTCATTTGCACCGGTGGATGAATGCTTGATTCTTTCTATCTTGTCCTTGATATGAAATAGTTTCCACGCGGGAAGAGAAATATATGCACTTGAGTTGGAACATGAAACCAACACCAACTTCTCAGCTGTGTTAGCATTGTTTAGTCACCCATGTGTGCAGTGCTGAACTTGTTTTGATTCTGAGCAAGGGCAGGGGTGGATTTGAAAGTTCAAACCTTAAAGGCTTAAAGTCCCTTAAACAAGTGAAACAGAAAATGCTTAAACAAATGGAACAGTTTTTGTTCCATTTTTTAACTTATTATTTTTAAATAAAAAAATGAAACCAAAATCAGCTGGTTCTAGTCGTGTTTTGAAGGAACTCGACCCACATGCATGATGCATTTAAGAAAAATTCTCAAGAAAAATAAAATAGAGCATGTGAGAAAAAAGTAGTGTAATATATACTCCATTTTATTTAGTGTGACATTCATTCATTCACCCAATATGTACACCTTCTAAGCTCAAATAATTTATACTCTTGGATTTGAGTTGATCAACTCTAGCATAGTAGAGGTTTTAAACAATAACAATGTGAAAAGGTGATAAAGATATTTAATTCCAGGATACAATAAAGTAGAGTAGCATGAAACAGTTAAAGCAAAGATGATATCTTCCTCGCCTTTTTTGATCAGTGATTCGCTAAATTAGGTGCACTAAAAAATATCTAACTGTGTTAACAAAAAAATATTTCCTCTTCTGTCAAGTGTCACCTCTCCCATAGTCCCATCATCATGCAAACCTGCAAAAATATTTCCTCTTCTGATGTTTGCATGCATGGATGAAAGCTTACTTAGCACATTATTAATATATTGTTGCACGCACGCAGACTGGAGGTAGCTTTATGCATCTTTGTTTTCTGCAATTCAGGCCAAATAGCTACATAAGCTCCATCAAGAAAACATGGTTAAGGTTACTCCATTTTAGACACTTGCAAACTGAGGAAATAGAGTAACCCTACAATGGCATTCTTTTCTTCTTCTGTTTTAGCAGCCGATAATGATTTGTTATGCTCTAACATCCCTTGGGTCAATTTCTTACTCATTGCCCTAGCTAGTTTTTCAGTAGTGTTCAATCTGATTCATCATTAGACAAAACACAGATGTCATTAGATATATTAAGAAATATAATATGAAAATTTTCACCAGAACTCCACTTCTTTTGTGGATTGGTAAGAGAACAATGGAAGATACAATAAGCACAACTCCATTTAAGGCAATTTTTGTCAACCTAATCCTACTTGTCTTTCCACAAATAATCATGATGGCCAACAAACAATGCATGATGGCCAAGGCTAATTTTCATAACATTAGTGATGATCATTCATGACAAATGAGATGGATGTTCCACAATATAGTTGCATTGAAAGCAAACATTTAGCATGCAAATAGATAAATGCAAGCTACAAGAACTATAATACTATTAGCCACTAGGAAGATTTCACCACATACCAACCATCACCTATTGTAGTACAGAGTAAAACAACACTAAACCCTTTGAAATTCTGAATATTAAAAATGAAATACAAAGATGGAAAGCAACACCTTTCATTAAAGTCTCTAAACTGCTCTGAGAAGTCCTCCCCTAGCCTGTCTGACGGTTGACCAGTTACAATCTTATAGCCGCAAAGACTATTTGTTGCATTAGGAGTCTAAAAGTATTAAAATAATAAATCAACAATTTTTCTCTCATAAGAAACTAAGAATGCACTGGCTTGAAAGGAGGGAGCACTGGGTTTCCTGTTGCCTTATGAGTCAACTGGTGAAATACTTACAGCAAACACTCAATACATGAAAAGTTTATTTCTTCAATCTTTTTACGAACCGTGTATTTCTGAGATTAAGCTCAGACAATTGCAAGTTTCAATGAAAATGTAGACTGTAGAGTATCCCTATATGAAAATAAAGGTCTTGCAGTAGCATAGATTCTAAGCAGATATTGTTGCCTCCTCAAATACCTAAGACCTGAGAGTTAGACCAACAACTGAGGGGACAAAGGGTTGCACTTTAAAGGTGTGAGAGAACAAAAGCACAAAATGAATTGGAAGTTAAAGATGGTAAAAAAATTGAAAGAGTATATCACATCTAAGAAAAAATCCCTAATTGCAGGCTTTGCAGCAAGGATTCCCTTCGCAAGAGCCATGAGGCCCATGAATAGCTTTAAGCTACATTACTACAACTACTTTCTGAAGCATATTCCTTGGAAGTGTCATGTATTTTACCAACAGCTACTTGAACAAAAATCAAACTATAATCCCAAAAGAATCATTGGGGCCGCCTACGTTGAATAAAAGAAATTGGATAGCAAAGTTTGTAAACAACATAATAAAATGATTACGAAGAGGTCTACTCTGCCAAAGCTAAAGTTTTGCATGTTTCTATAAGAGAAACATAGATACACTAAGAGGCCGTTTGGCAACCCTCATTTTCGGCTTATCAGGCTTATCAGTCAACTTTTTTACCAAACACGTAAATTTTGCTTTCGCGCGCTGAATTGTGTAATAAGCCGAAAAAGTAAGGTTGGAATTATTTTTCTGACTGTATTGGCTGAAGTTACTGTAGATGACCATTTTAGCTATTTTTACATATATTTTTTTTTCTTTATTTTATTAATAAAATATATTTTAAAAATATTTTTTCTTGTATCAGCAGAATCAGCCAATGCAGACACTTCAGCCAGAACTTCATAAATTTCAGCAGAATAAGCCAGAACAGCCGATTTTCGTGCTGCCAAACGGGCTCTAATTGCTTGCACATTATGGCATCAACACAGTATCTTTACAAGTTGAACAATGGATTGAAGAAGTTGACGCGATTCTTGTGGGCTTACATAAGAAGAACAATCTGCCACATCCTTAAGCAAGTCCAACTTTCTGTCTTCAGAAAGCTGGATATATACAAATATTACTTACATCTAGCCATTCTGAAGTTGCCCAAGACAGAGAGAAAAAAATGAATCATGAAGTATAACAAGAGTCTACTAAGGGATACATTTTAGTTGCTGAAAAAGGTGATTTTAAATCCAAACTACATGAAATTATACTCCGTATGTCATTAGTAAATAACTAGCACAAAATAGTGAAACATCTTAACATATTTTCGAAGTGTTATTTGGTGTTTTTTGGACCAGACGGGTGATAAATCTTCTTAATTAGTGTTATTTGGTGTTTTTTGGAGTATACAACTTCTACGATTGTGGTTATATGATATTCCCTCTATTCTAGTTTTTACCACAATAGAGTTTTATTGACGCAATATTTAAGAGAAAGACACTAGGAGCAATGAATTATGTAGAAAGAGTAGGATATATGGTGAGAAAGTATGGAAGAGAATATGAAAAATAATTGAGTATTTTTAAAAGGAAAACTTACTAAAACAAAAAAATATAGCAAACAAAATATAGCAACCGGGTCCCGGTCCACCTCAAATTTTAAAATTCTTTGTGTTTTTAGTATAAAAATTTACGTGTAAAACTTTACCTGAAAAAAATCTCTATACCAGCCCATCCCAAGTTCTGATCCTGGCTACAATGATGATCATTGGGCGAGATTTGCCAAATGATCAATTTTATCATCTAAAGCGAGATATCAATGTAAGCTGGAACACACACGTATTATATGTATAATATATATATATATATATATATATATATATATATATATATATATATATTTAGTGCCATTCATTTACTAACCTACAAACTAGGTTTAATTTACTAACCTACAAACTAATCTTAGCCATTCATTTAGTGCAGATCACGGTTCGTATCTATGTTAACTGTTCACAGCCAATTAATTAAAATTGAGGGTGTTTTAGTCAATTAATCCACTTCTATAATGGAACACAAATTACGTTGGTTACTTTCCATTCTCATAACCGCTTTCTTTCCGTTTATTCTCTCATTCCATCTTTCCGATCGATCATGGATTTCATCTCTGCGCTTGTCTTCTTCATCGTGGATTATGATTTGCTACAGTTAATCATCTCTCTTCATTAACATCGAATGCCATGGAATCAGGTACTCATATATTTTTCATGAACTCCGTTTTATACACACACACAAAACTTCAGATGTTGATCGTATGTTCTGTTCGTGTGTCCAGGTCGTGCAATTGATTCGCAATTCAGGTCGATTTTATCATGTATCTTCTCACTAACAGATTTCATAATTAAATGTTGATAATATTACCTTTTTTCACTTTGTATGTATGTTTTCCTTATGTGTACTCTATTGTATATAAATTATGAATGAAACCGAACTACAACTTCATTACCGTAAAGAGATTACATAATTATTTTAATATTTGTTGAAATTCTGTTTGTTTTCCATTTTTGTCTTCTGTAAGGTAAAATATGTATTATGCATTTGTTTGTGTTGTATGGTGCATTTAGTGAACTAATATTTTTATTCTTTATTAATATTAGTTTTTGTTCATGTTTAATATCATAGATCGTTTGTTGTTTATATAGATCCGAATTGTGGTTTTCAAATTTCTCCTGGGGGTTCAAAGTACTGGATCCTTGAATGTTCACCCGAAAAGAAACCGGTTGTTGGATTGATATTTGCTTAATAGCAGATAGTGCAAAAAGGGTTTAGTGAAGCCATTGACTTCAATTTCTGATTCCATATTTGAGCAGACTTTATTGATGGAGGAGAATAAGATCTTTGTTTTTTAAGGAAGAATAAGATCTCTGTTAACACTATGGTCTCACATATATGCCTGTATGGCCTTTGTTGAAAATAATCCCAGCTACTTGAAGCAGTTTTCAGGTATAATTAAAGACCAAAAGGAGTTTTTCCTTTCTGTACATAAAGGTGTTGGTCACGATTCAACAAACAAGTCATTAATTGAATCATTTTGTGGTTGTTGTGTGTCGTTCGAAGTGACTGTGCACCCCCCGCAGAAGGCAAAAATAAGAGTTCTGGACGTAGGATGACGTCTTCCAAGGAAGTTTCAATTGAAGAATCTCAACGCCCCAAAAGACTTTGTAAATCATGCAATGAGATGGCGCATCACGATAGTGAGAATTGCCTTTGAATAAATAGGCTTGCTTTAAGTTAAAGTTTACGTTTGTTATTGATGTTGTTTGACATTGCTTATACGTACAAA